GTACACTCAGTATCCTGTGGATGCCAGAAAGTTTAAAACATCAATAGTGTCTTAAGAGTTTAACTCTGAGGCCTATAAATGAGGAGACTGTAAAAGGGACTTTTCTTCTCCTGTTTCAATTGTTGTCTCTGAGGCTTACTGCCTCCTCCTAACCTAGGCCTACTCCTGGGAGCCTCCATACAATCTAAGCTAGGCCTAGACTGTTTTCTGGCTCTGAGAATTACTACTTAATAAGCTCGCACTTGTTCTTCTGAGCTCTGCGCTGGCTGGTTAAACTCAGCTGTCCTGGCTAAAACTCCTCTGTCACCTAACTTATTCAATCTGGCTATTCTCTCAGCTCCTGAATTGCTGTATTTGGCCTCAAACTGACTTCAGCAATCTGTTCTAATCTACTGGCTCCTTCTCATTCTCTGGCTCCTTCTGTCTTCACTTGAGTTCTCTCTCTGCAACCTGTCTCTCTTTTACTGTCCCAATTAAACTGCTTCCTCTCTCTCCCTTCCACACCCCTGCATTGGCCCTTAAGTAGCTTCCCTTTCCTCTCTCTTCTCATAAGAGTTTGGGGAAGGAGGGGGGAGATCCAAGATGGTGGCCCCAAGAGGACACTGTGTCTGACAAGCAGTGACTGAACAGCGACCAACAGACTGAACTTGGGCCCTAAAACACCAGGGATTTTGTTTCCCAGGTGAGAGGAAACCCCACAGTGTGGCTACAAGTGCTGGCCAGGGGATGTCTTCGCAGGTGGGCGTTGGCACTTGAAGAGTTCTAGCTCCAGCCCTCCAGGAAGGGTCCCTCAAGGGCCCACATTCCCAGACAGGGTTTGTCTAGGCTCCAGCTCACTCCCCACTCTAGGAGCCCATCCAGGCCTGCTTGGAGCCTCAAAGCCCTCTGACACTGGACTGCTGGCTGTGTCAGGCTACCCTTCCTCAGGGAATGTTAGGCTGCTAGTTATTCTGAGGTTCAGAGGTTCACAGAACAGACACAGACTCTCTCCTCTCTGCCACCTACTGACACACATATGACACAGCAGCCACCTCTGCAAGGCCTCTGAGGGAAGGCATGTTAGGGGTTTATATGGGGTTTCTTTTCTCTACAAATAAAAGAATTAAATGTAGAAAAAAAGTTGCAGCACATCACAGAGTGTGGAAAGAATGAAACCTCAGACATAGCAGACAGCAGCAGCAGAATCAGCCTGCAAAAGGCTTTTTATTAGGAGTGACGAAACACACACAGAGCAAGATAGAAACCAGAAGACCCTTAGCAAAGCAGAATGAGCACTCAGGAAGCTGAAGCCCTGTCTCTCCTTGAGGTCTGGGGCTCTTAAGGGTCTTTCACCCCCTATGTAGGATTGTTCACTTAGAACAAGACTGGAATACTGATAGGACCACAAGCTTGAGATAAACACACACTGGTTGGTCCTTGAACTTGGTTGATTGGTCAGAAGATGGTGGGAAGGCTCTGTGGGCAGGATAAAACCCACTAGGCCTTTGTTTAGGTCACCAAGCTTTTGTCTCGGGTCAGGAGCTTAGGCAAGAGGCCTGCCATCTTGTAATTTCACTATCTTTATGATCTGACCATGGCCTCTCTCTACCTGTGCCTCTTCCTTGTGTAAGAAAAGCCCTTCCAAGCTCTCCCTTCCCTCTTGAGCTCCATTTCAGTCTCTGAATATTTCTTTAGGAATCCTCACTTTGGTGGTTTGCTCTTTCATTTTCCTCCCGTTTCCCATTTACCTCTCTTCCTTAAACATCCTTCCCTTTCAGCCACACGGATTAGACAACATATAGCCCTACTGTTTCTTACAGAGAAAGCATGGTGCTGGCTGATGTGCTGGGTTTTGCAAATGAAAGCCTCCAAAGAAGCTACCTAGAGCAGCAGCAGCAGCAGCTGCCCTGAGACTGTGAGGATGCCAATGGCTGCTTCCCCCTGCCAAGTTCAGCTCCCTTGACCAGCCTCCTCTCTTCTGCTCATAACTTCTATTCCAACAAGTAGATGATCAATACATAAACACTTGATCAATGTTCTCACTTCTGTTCGTGCACTTTTATTGTAGCTTTTCATTGTATGTATAGAGCTTTGTTGTACCTCACCAGTTAACATTTGCATCAAAACGTAGTAATCTAACTACAGTAACAAAAAACTTAAAAAAAAAAAAAACGGTTGGTACTAAAAAGATCTAATATGTTATGTACCAATTAGATGAAGGTTTTCCTAAAATTCAATTTTAAATGGAATTTCCTTTTTTTTAAATTAAAGTGTTGGGGCTGGAGAGATAGACTCAAAATTTAATTACAGTTAAACAAATATATACAAAGACCCAAAATACATTTACTTTTTTGGACGGTATGTGTATGAGTGTTTCCCTGCATGTATGTATGTGATCCGCACGCATGACTCAGGCTCTCTCAGGACAGAAGAGTGTAAAGGATCCCAGAAAACAGGTGTTACACATGGTTGTGAGTGACCTTGTGAGGGCTGAAAATAGACCCCTGGTTATCTGCAAGAGCAGCCAGTGCTCTGACCTGCTGAGTCATCACTTCATTCCTAAAATGGAACTGTTCAAAAACTTAGCAATGCATAAATTTCTCTATCTGTGTGTAACTGTGGGAGTGGGTGTCCACGAGCCAGATCTCCCTGTGGAAGTCAGAAGACATCTTCCAGGAGACAATTTTCTCTTTGGAGCACCCAGATGCCTGGAGTTGGAGCCCAGGCCCTCAGGCAAGGTGGCAGATACCTTTCCCCACTGACCCATCATCTCACTGTTCCTCACGCAGAATGCTTTCACTAAGGATGCCCACCATGACTGAAAACCTGACCCTGCAGCCCCACATGCCATCACTGCTAACTCCACTGCCCTTTCCCAGTGCACATCTCTTCCCCTCATGATTACAGATGTCCAGTCCTTGTGTTCCTGCTTCCTGTTTTCTTAGATTAATGCAGCCTCCAACCTGTCACCAAAGATGTGTCATTCAACAGACAGCTGCTGCCCTATGAAGTTCTCTTCAGTGATGTTCCCATGAGTTCCCACTGTCTTGAGAGTACTTCAGCTTCCAGGCTCTCCATGAGATACCCTACCTACCTGCATGTCTCCACCCTTGACCTTGCCTCCACCTCCAAGTGTTTCTCGTGCACCTCAGGACAGTGGCTGTCCTTGGGCAGCAGAATGGTAGGATGTCTTCTAGGCCAGTTTCAGGGTATCTCAAGAGCAGGGATTCATGAGGCCATGGGAAAATGTCCTCTTAGTTCCTTGGTCTTCAACGTTCAGAGCCAAACAATTCTCAATTCCAAAATCTCAAGAAATCAAATATCGACAATGCAAAAGCCTGTAAGCTTCAGTCTGGAAAAACAATAAGAAGGCTTTGAAAGACACTTGACAATATTATGAAGAGATCATTTATTTTAGAAACATAATAAAATGGCATAACATTTTCTTGGCATAAAATTTTTGGTAAGCATAAGTATCCAAACACAATAAAGTTTCATCAAAGAAAGATACAAGCAGATGAACTGTATTCATAAAGTCACAGATCTGAGAACAAAGTGGATGAAAAATGAAGTAGATTTTTTAAAGATTTATGTATTATGTATACAGTATGCCTATACACCAGAAGGTGGCATTAGATCTTATAGATGGATGGTTTTGAGCCATCACGTGGTTGCTGGGCATTGAACTCAGGACCTCTGGAAGAAGAGCTAGTGCTCTTAACCTCTAGAGCCATCTCTCCAGGCCCTGAAGAAGATTTTAAAATATGTTGTATTGATAAAGAAATTGATCACAACAGGAAATGTGGCTAAGGAGGATTGGGGTCTGTGAGCACCCAGCTCACAGCCCAGCCATCCGGATTCTCAGGAAGGGCCACCATCTCTTGAGGAGCACCATCAAAAGTCACAACAGGTTGCCACTACATAGAAACCACCCCGAGGGGCCAAGTGCTTACAAATTTTATCCTTCACAAATGCAGATGTACAACAAGGACACTACTTCCTTTATGAAGAAAATACCAAATTTATACACAATACTCCCACATAAACTCAGTGCTGTCAATACCTTTACAGGTGTTAAGGTACAGCACAAAGAACTTGATACGAATGTAAAAAAATACAGCAAATCAAACTGTAAATGAACAATATCAACGTCTTAAACTCATACTATCATTACTTCGTAAGGAACAATCTCACACATAGAAAATCCAGGCCATGCCATAGCCCATAGAGACTGCTTGCATTGCCTAATTCCTGAGATCTCTTGACTGTCTTTTTGTAGTCTTACACCCAGGAGACACAGTGTTTCCTTTAAGAGAGAAGGAACTCTCCTCACAGAAAACAGTTGTATTCATTTTCTATGTGTCTTTGATTTAATTCTGCATACTTTGAGCCTTGTCTGTACAATTTGGATATGTGGAAAAATCCTTGTCAGGTTTTCACACACAAATCACATATTGAACAGCAATAACACATGACACTGAAGAGCAACGCAATGACAAAAACGTCTTATTACATAGACTTTTTCATCATTTTCTATAATAACTTATTAGGAAGAGTGTCTTCCAAGCATGAAAGGCACATTGCAATTCATCAGGAAGGAATGGCTATGCAGATAGAGACAGTTATTAATCAATTGGTCAATCAATCAATTAATTTTGAGACAGGGTCTCTCTGCATAGGCGCCTGCCCTGAAACTCTTTACGTGGACCAGGTGACCTGCCTCCCTCCAGGCCCTGAATTAAAGGCATAGGTTACAGGCCTCCTTCAGGACATGTTTTCAAAGCTATGCTTTCCCATTGCCTTTTGAATGGCCAATTCCTTTCCCAGAATTTGGTTTCTACTCCTATTCAAACACACATTTTCCGTAGTTTATAGAATCAGAGAACACCATCTTATATGATGTGAAATATCATTTTGCCATAGTCCATTTTCCATGTCAGGTCAGTCTCCAGTATGAGTTAGGACATTTCTCAAAAAGTAAAGAATCTAACTGTGCATCTTTAAAATTTCAGAGGTAACCTCTAGGGGGACACACGACTACAATAAATGTTAGCAACAGCTTTCTCTAAATCCATTGCTGTCTCGTTTGTTGGATAATACCTTATGGGGTAATGTATTTGTGAGCTTGAATCATATAAGGACGCTTCCTTACGACCCGAGTATGTTATCTTGATCACGATGCCTATTTTCCCGGTGTAACCACCAAGATTTATCAGCCTCTGCTTTAATGTTAGTGCAGTATGTTTACAACAGTCCTTTAACTTGGAGCCTAGTTCCCTCAGAACAGGGCTGTCATCTTCTAGCTCCTCATCTCCACGGACAAAGCTGTGCAGGGTCAGGAGACCATCCTGGGAAATATGAAGCACACCCGAGATGATGACTTCCTGCTTCTCCTGCAGGCCCACATCCAAAACCCAGCTTTCATGGATGAGCAGCCTTCCCTGAGGAAGTGAGCCCCACTCTGTCTGGAGTAACTGCTCACATCTTCGCTGTTGTGAGAACCTTTGTGTGCACAGGGCTGCTGGGGAGCATATCATCGTTCCAGACCCCACTAGAAGAGATGAGATAAATGTAACAAGTTACAGAGGCCAAATGCTGTTAAGTTCCACACTTTGTATCCAACCCAGAAGGTGAACACACAAGATACCCAACACTAACTCAAGAACTGCAGAGCCAGAAGTGCAAGGGAGACTTGGAAACTCAAACTGCCAAGGAAAGAGAGGGGAAGCAGCTGAACACTCACACTCCTCCCTTCTCCACCACAGGGAGCATCACAAGCTTGTTCTGGAGAACTCCAGGGTAAGAAGAGTCGGGGGAGCAAAGGGCAGGCTAATGTGAAGACAGAAAGTCAGTCAACAGGAAGCATCAAGGAGGTGATGAGACAGGAGAAGAGCTCGGGGAAACAGGAAGCTCCACAGAGCAAAGGAGGGAACAGACCCCATTTCCAGAGCTCCAGGGATGGGAAGAGGATGCCTCAAAGGGGCCCACAGAGTAGGCCAAGCGTCCCCAGGTGAGCATAGATTTGCACAGCCAAAAGGTAAAGCACAGGTCTTGAAAGCCTTGTATCCAGTACAGGAATTGGAAGGGACACTGTTACCTTCTACTTGACAACCATAGGTCTTAGAAGCCTTCTATCCAATGCAGAAGTTGGAAGGGACAATGTCACCTTCACCTGACAGGTTTGTAGGCTCTGATTTTGTAAAACCTAGTTTAGTTAGGGTTCTTAAACACCTCTACCTCCTTTCAAACCCTCAATCTTAGGTGGGATAGAAAGGTTAGTAGGGACACGGAATGTGGACCTCTTTAGATGTAGCTCCTTGGGGGCGATTCCACTCTCTGTCATCAGGACTCCAGCAGTCCAGTCACAGAGCAAACAGCAACAGGAATTGGCAGAAGCAGCACCGAGAGTTCTTTGGAACTTAGCAAAGCAGTGCAAAGCGAGGAGAAGCCAAGCAAAGTGTTGTCTGTCTGTCTGTGGGCTCTTATTTATCCCTTCTCAGAGTCCACACAAGGGTGTTTTCCTGCTGGAAAAAAACAGACCTCTTGCACCAGGCAGTTTCCAGCTGACAGAGATCATGCACACTCTCAAGAGTCTGTTTTCAGCTGACAAAGATCATGGTCCCTTTCACAAGTATGTTTTCAGCAATGGGTAAAGCATTTCCCGTTCACACACTTGGGACCAAAACAATAAAAGACATAAAACAACAAAACTTCCACAGCTTAGCAGTGGAGAGGATTTTGTCTGTCCTATCTCAGAATGTGACATGTTGCCAGGCACTATCTTGTGTGTGTGTCAGGAGCAAGGGAGGCAGCTTTATTGGGGGTGGTTACTGTTTGAGACAAAGTTACTCTAGGGACCTGGAAACAAGTAGCAATCCCAGTGCAGGAAGCCTGGACACAAATTTCAACACAGAGCACAGCTTAGGCAAGAAGATTTGGACATAGTCACAGCCACCACCCTAGGCAGCTGCCCTGAAAGTACCTGGAATCTGAGCACTCCACCTCGTAGCATCTGGATTGTCACAGAAAAACTGAGTGCAGGGAATGTGTGGTGGGATGCTTGCCCGAAGAGTCCATTTATCACCTCGATTAATAAAACCTGAGAAGACAAAGGTAATTTTAAGTTTCCCATAGGCCGTACTATTCAATAACTGTTTAAAAAATGTATTAAAAGTCTCAGTTGAACTATGTTTTCCTAACAGAAAATGGGGTTAGGTTCTGAGGTTACATTTTGAGGTCAAATACAAATTACAAATTAAATTTTGATGATGCTCAAATCCTCTACACTCACCGAAACAAAACAGTAAAAAGTGCAGTCATAGGAGTTGAATGTGTTCAGAATTAAATGGGGCCATTTTCTTTTGTGTTATTTACTCTTGCCTCAGTTCACAAAGGGTATCACAAAGCCCACACTGGCCACAGACTGACTATGTAGCTAGGGATGAGCTTGAGTTTCTGATCCACCTGTCTCCACGTCCAGAGACTGTGGACCATAAGTGCATCATCTTGCTTAGTTCCATAGTTTTATGTAGCAGAGCAATCGATACGAGGGATTCTTACAATCTAGGCAAGCACTGTACCAACGTAGAAATAGCCCATGCTCCATTTTTTTTCTATCTTTTCTTTTTTTTTTTTTTTAAATGACAGAAAAAACCTGCAGGCTGGTGAAGAAATGAGTTTGTGAACAGTTTGAGTCGCATTTTCAGAGATTGTATGAGTTTCTGGTGCTAGTTCCATGTGGGGCTTTTCTATTCTTAAACCAGATTAAAATGGCAGCCGTTTTCTTTCCTTCTGACAAAAATGTAGGGTTCTATTTTGTGTAGTAATGTGAGAGAAAGGAAGAATCTCAAATGAAGACTTTGGGTGAAAGGAAAAATAGATTAAAAAAAAAGAGTAAGGGGCAAATACTGGGCAGGGTTCTGAAAGGAACACAGTGTAGCCAATACCTGCTTGGAGAACAACCGAAATGGCCAAACTAAATAGTATTCTTTCCATAACCTGATTTTGTGATTTATCTGTCACTGTTAATGAAAGATGACTGACACAGAAAATTGACAATGAGAAATGAGATCAGGGCAGTGTGTACCTGAGGGTTGGCTACAGAATTTGTTGCAGTAGGAGGGATTGGAACAAGCAAGCCAGGAATAGTCTGGAAAGAGGCAAAAAGGACTTGATAGGCAGCTCAGATTGGATGAGCAGAAGTGGGGGATACAAATAGGACAGTGTCCATGAAAGGCTTACTGAACAGCTTTCTGATGGAAATGGCCATGCCACTGAGGCTAGAGACCATTTCAATGTTCTGTTTCAAGACACTGGGGCGCACTCTTCCCTGGCCTGAGACTTGGCAGGGATCACAGCTTCGCCTCATGTGAGAGGTGAAAAGGCCCTTGAAGAGAATTATGAGTTCCAGCCACTAGGGAAGAAGGCTGTATCAAACATGGCCAATGTGAGGGAAATGGTTTATAGTGTTGCTGAAAGCAGCTAAGACACTTTCCATAGGAAATCTTCTAGTGTGTAGAAGAAAAGAAGAGGCTGAGAGCTAAGGACTGTATCTAGCAGGGGTCAGTAAACTAGCTCTTGACACATGAGCAATTTTAAGGTTGGCCAAGTCCCAGAAAGCAATCTTCCAATCCCCTTAGCCAAACATAAACTGATAATCTCCTCTCCTCAACCTGCAGTGGGATCCATCTGGAGCTTGATCCATTCCTCCGCAGTAAACCTCTTCACGCAGCCGTCTTCCACGTGCCAGGACTCAGGCTCTGCAGCGAACACTGCACAGCAGAATCTCTCCACTCTCAGCGCACAGACATATGAACACACAGCTCCTGGTCTGTGCACTTCGATGAATCTGCACGTGTACTTTATGTTCTCCTTCTCCTCACAGAAGTGAGTGACAGGCAGTTGCCGGATGCACTGTTCTATTTCACTCTCTAGATGCACAAGATCGCTCTTTTCTGCCTCAAAACCAATTATTTGCTGTTTCTTCCCATCTAAACCAATGAACAAATATCCCCCATCTGCGTTTGCAAATGCAGAGATAGTTTTAGGGAGGATCTCTAAAATCTTTGCTTTGGGGGACAATTTAACTTCAGCATGTGTGGATTCGGCAAAACAGAATGTCTCCTCATAGGACAAGCATGCCCTGTTAAATAAGTCAACACATTCATTTGGTACTTCATTACAGGAACTTTGTCTGGACCCTGCTGTCTCTTGAGAGTGCTTCACGGCTCTGAGGACCTGCACTGCTTCAGGTGCTTTCAGTTCAACTGAAAATGACAGTTTTCTCTTGTAGAAATTAGTTTTCTTGGTGGTGATACGCTGAAGTAAGTTATTCCGTGTCCATGCTTTCACAAAAATGAAAAAGTAGCATCTGTACTGCATGAAGTCTAGGTGTTGATGAATTAATGGCAGGATACCACGTAAAGCATCTTCCAAGTCCAGTCCTATCCCATCTCTGGTGAAGCTGTAGTTTTGATTTTTAATGGGAGCCTTGACCACGCCCCCTCCAGAATTCAGCAGAGCACACACAGCCAGTGAGATATTTTTGGCCTCACTTCTTCTCAGGTCACAATTCTTCATCAACTTCCTATTCTTCTCTCCAAGTGTGACTTCTCCTGGGGATAGGACCAGTTCAGCATAGTCTGTCTCTTGATCGACACTGACATTCATTTTCCAAGCACTCACTGTGTTTCCCAGATGAAATCCTTTCCTGTAAGACAGACAGAGCCATTACAGCCATTACAGAAGAACCTAAGCAGTGAGAGCCAGCTCTGCTTTACCAAGCCCAGCTCAACCATACTTACTCTGAATGAGAAAGTGTGACAGTCAGATGTGATGTTTATTTAGGGACTGTTGGGACAATTTTGGACTGACTACAATAACCTGTGCACTGAGTAAATTTCAAATTAATTGTCACGACTGTTTTCATCCTCTTCTAATGGTTTTGATTTAAGAAAAAGAGAGAGAGAGAAAAACTTTATTCCATGTATTCATCTCCATATCACTCTGTTCTATGGAGAGCTTTCAAACCTTGCAGTCTAATTTAATTATATCGAAACATTTTATTCAGTGCAATTAATACCAAGTGGGAAACAGTTCATGGGATTGGAAAAACAGAGCCACCACCAACACATCAACTTTTCTTTTGAGGTGTTTTGAAGCTGTAGTTGCCTGTTTGGACACTAGGGAGCACTGACAGCTAAAATGACAGCTATAAACCCAACCTTACATGATAGGGAGTATAGAGAGGTGGAAGGGTGATGTGGGCTTTACAGTGGCTTGGCCAAAACGAAACATGTGCAAAAAACATGCATGGGTGTCCACTGTTGTGGGGTGACCTCCACCAACTCCTTTTTCTCCGGGAACTGAGTTTGCATGAGGCACTAGGGCCCTCAGTGCTGTCCCAGTATGGATGCTCAGCATTCCTTTGCTCTGTTTATTTGTAACTCTTTCATCGTCGTTAAGGGAGCTGCGTGTATCTGTATGTTATTGTTCTGGAATGTTTGTTTTGTTTTTTTTTTTTTGCATGCATGTATGGTGCCTTTGGAGGCCAGAAGATGACATTGGGATATCTGACTTAGAGTTTCAAATGGTTGTGAGCTGCGCTGTAGGTGCTAGGAATTATCTGGTGGGGCCAGGAAGATTCCTTTTGTCTCTAGACTTCTCTGTCTTGGGCTGAGGATATCCCTTAGCTCTGGGAAAAGTCTGGGAAAGGTCCTGGGTAAACGTGACCCAGGCAGCTATAAGTGCGAACGTACATGGCTAAAAGGCCTGGAGAGTGTTGCTTGAGGGGACAGGCCGCCTGGCCGGACCCATCAACTTATGCCTCATGTAACTTCTCCTTAGCCCCCCAACAGAAGAGACATCAGCTTATCACTCCTGGAAGTCTCCAGTTCGCCTTAAAAGGCCTGTTTGCCTTTGCCTCAGGGTTGCCATTTTCTAGAATGGTCGACTCCTGCATGCTGGAACACATCACTTAGGACAATGTGCTCTCGCATTTGCATACTCTCAGAGTCTGACTTGTGTCAGTCATCTTTGCACCCTACAACTCCAGGTCCTGTAGAACAGCAGCCAGTATTATGAATTGCTGACCCATCTATCTAGTCCTTGTCTATCTGCCTTCTTTCCTTCCTTCCTTCCTTCCCTCCATCTTTTCTATACTAATAGAAATGCTGTGTATCTGACTGCAGAATACACTTATGAAATATGTAAATATTATGAGATAGTTAAATTAAGATAAATGATACTCTATACAAAAAAATTATACAAGCTCTCATTTTCGGGTGAACACTAACACTGACTTTTAGAGCTACGTCTGTTGTTGCGTCCTGTAATCCCAGCTACCCAGGAGGCTGAGGCAGGCAGAAAGTTCACGAGTTCAAAGGCAGCCTGAGCAACTTAGCAAAACTCATTCTCCAAACACCAAGTAATCAGAGCTGGAGATGGAGTTCACCTGCACAGCCCTTGCTCAGTGTGTCCTTGGCCCTAGGGTCCACACTCGGCACACAAACGTAAACCTAATTTCATAGCTTTCAAAGGAGAACACACTGTTGTTTGCTGTAGGCACCCTGTTCTGCCACAGCCCCTCTCACATGACAGACATTTTATAGTCCCTCAGTAACAGCTCCCAACAAGCAAGCCTGCTTCTTGTTAACTTCTAACTGCTCTCCTAGTTCTACTCTATTCCTGAGGGTGGGATTCCTCCCCCAACTACCAAGATCATGGGCTTAAAAGTCCATGGCCTAAAAGTGAAACTCCTTGACTTCATCTTCTGCCCCTAAAATATACATGTTCCAGCATCCTGCTTCCTCAAGGGCTGCATCCAGAACTCAGGTGCTGCTCTGGCCTAAACCTCACAGACTGCATCAGCTGGACCTGCAGTTTCCAAGCCGCAGATGGTCTCACAGGTCCTGGGCAGCAAACACAACAGCCTGCTCTTGGGACTTGGCCAATGCTCCAGCTTTTTGCCCCATGCCCCAAAATCAGTGCCCCCAATGTCAGCCGGGAGGATCCAGAAAAGATTCTTCACCCATTATCCATTTATTATCAACAGAAGGCTGGGATGTTAACGTCCCTATCTGCTGCAGGGCATGGCTGCCATAACCTGCCCTCCACCTAGGGGCAGGGCTTCTCTCCCAGTGGCCATTCACTATATAACCAGACATCTCGGTCCATCAATCCTTTCCTCCCTTTCTCCCCATTTCCCCCCTTCCTGCCTGCTCTCTTACTTCCCCCTACCATCAGTGCATGCTCCCCTTCCCCTCCCCGTCCCTAAATGCTCCCAATGAGCCTGCATTTATATAATATAGCTTCATCTCTCCATTAGTTCATTCACATTCACTCTGGACTCTCTAAGATGTCCCTGCCTCTGACCATGTTCCCCCTTTATCTACCGTATACATTTTCTTCCAGGATACCTTGGACCGGTCCTGTTCCTTTTCTTTTTCTTATTCTTCTGAACCAGTCATGTTCCTTACCTTTTTGAAATTTCTTTAGTTTTTCATTCAGCCAGGAAGGTGGACTCAGCAAACAACCATTCCGGGGTTCCTACAAAATGGCGCTTGAGGCATAATCTGCAATGGCTCATAAAGGCAAACCCATAAGGCCACGGTCTCCTCAGGTCTAATCGGGAGCAAGTATGTTCGATGCACTTCCTGCCTTCGTATATCCCGGCAAAATTCAAGGAGGGGCCAACCTAGGTAACCCCACTCCGCCTACATGTGATCAGGCACATCCGGTGCAGCTGTGCCAAACAAACTTGTGGAGGGGAGCGAAACCTGTCGCTTTTTTTCTTTTCTTTTTAAAATAATAAACGATGGCCTCTGGCATTTCAGGAAGTGTCTGTCTTTGGGCAGCGGCTTTCAGATTAGGGGCAGTTCTGTTTCCTGGACCTCTTAAGCACAGAAACTAAAACGGAACACACAACTTTGGCTCGCCCCCCCCCCCAAGCCTATTTCCCATGTCTCCTAGGCAACGTCTATTTTCCGCAATTCCGTCAATACTTTCTTCCATCTTAGAACACATGTGTAGCAGTCAGAGGCTAAGATTCGTGTGTGTGTGTGTGTGTGTGTGTGTGTGTGTGTGTGTGTGTGTGTGTTTGTGTGAGGGAGAAACAGTGGGGAGAGAGAAACTTCCCTTATGTGTATGGACCAAGTTTTCATTATTCTTTTGTCTGTTGTGGTTCAGTTTTAAACATTAAACATCTAGAATTTAATTTCCTGTGTATATTTATGTTTGTTTGTTTGTTTGTTTGTTTTTTACAGAGAGATAACTTAAATGGGTAGATAGGGAGGTGGAGAGGATTTTGGAAAAACTATGGGAGGGAAAGCATCCAAAAGCATTAATGAGAATAATGAGAATACCAAATATTGTATGAAATTGTATTCAATAAGAGAAAATTGAAAACTGAGAGGGCTGTCTTTAAGAATCAGGACAGACCCAGAAAGTGTAGAAATGCTTTGTTACAAGGAGTCTGTGCAGAGAAGAAAACCTCCCTTCCTTCCTCTTTCTTTTCCCTCTTCTCTCCCTATTCCTCCCCAGTTCCTCCCTGCCTGTACCTGGGGACCTTGAACCAGTATAAAGAGGTGAGGGGGCAGGACAGAGATGAGCAGAGACAAAAGCTACAGTGGAGGTCCAGGGGAGAAATAAGAAGACACTGAAAGAGCAATAGGAGAGCAGAGGCTGGACAGAGGAGGAGGACCCCTGGCTGTTGATATCTCCCTACCACCAACTTCAGCAACAAACAGTCCTTTGAAATCCCTGAGCTGTGGGTTCTGAGTAATTCAGCACACTCCTGGTCTTACTGAGACAATGCTGCACACTTCCTGTTGTCTTCAGGTGGTTCGCAGCACTGCTCCTTTCCTGAGCTGCTGGTCCTCAGGAAGAAATGGTGCCTAAGGGCCTTGAACCTAAGCTTCCTCTACCAAACCCAACTTGTGTCAAGGTCCACAGGTCCATGGCCACACCTGCTGTTTGCACTCTCCAATACTTCACATTTTCAGCTTTTTACTTTTTCAAACCATGAAAGTTTTAGTTTGCATGTCCTAAGTTGCTATTTATCGCTGTTTAACCAATCATGTTACAAATACATTGATATTTACTGGAAGCAAACCGATCTCTTGATGAGTTTTTCCAGTGATCGCAGTGCAGCTTTGTATGCTAACATTCTCTGTCTAGAGCAAAGTTCCATGTGGAAAGAGGGTGATGGCTGAGCACTTCATGAAGAGCTTAAAACCCAGGACAATGGTGGTTCCAACATCCAACCACAGAGCAACTCAGCCACAGAGCAACACAACACAGGAGCATTCTTTTCCCCTCGGTTCCTGACACGACACTGTGAGAGGGTGGCGTGGATGGCAAGTGTGTCCTCCGTGAAGAGTGGCAGTTGCCAAATGCAGAACCTAGGTGGACTATGATCAGGTCTCTGCTTGCCCCAAAGTTGCTTGGAAGTGGCAATAGATGTTGCTCCAATGGATGCCACATTGCCAGTATTTGACTTAAAGGCAACAGAAAAACTGCAGCTGCAAGAGAATCAGTCTAATTCTTTCTCCTCCTGGAAACAGGAGAGGAGAACTGCCTCATGCAAGACCCCCACCCCCTGAAGCAAGGAAACAGGCTCCCATGGGAAGACCCACAGGAGAGACACTGTCCTGAATATCTCCTCCCTCCTCCATCTG